CAAACGAGGCACAGAGAGACGAGCGCCGGCGGCCACGAGGCAGACGACGGCGGCGACGGCGACGAGGCCGAGGGGGGCGTCGGACAGGGCGAGACCGACAGCGGCGACACGGCGAGACCGAGGGCGGCGGTGGCGAGGGCGGCGGCGGCGAGGCCCAGGCGGAGGGCGGCGACGGCGACGGCGAGGCGGAGGGAGGTGGCGGAGAGGGCGAGGCCGACGGCGGCGGAGGGAGGCGGCGGACAAGGCGAGGCCGACGGCGGCCAGGGCGAGGCGGAGGGCGGCGGCGGCGGCGGCGGCGGCGACCGAGGCTGAGGGCGGCGGCAGCGAGGCGGAGGGCGGCGTGTGTGTGTGTGTGTGTGTGTGTGTGTGTGTGTGTGTGTGTGTGTGTGTGTGTGTGTGTGTGTGTGTGTGTGTGTGTGTGTGTGTGTGTGTGTGTGTGTGTGTGTGTGTGTGTGTGTGAGTGAGTTTGCGTCTCTGTTCAAGAGTTCTCTATAATACTGTTCTCTCGGGCTAGAAGTTCCTAGAGGTACGTCTGAATGGACGCGCATTGCGACCTGGCCCGCTCCTTGCCACGTTGCCTAGGCCGTGAGTTACGCACGTCCGTCCGCCTGATGCAGGCTGGTGTCGAGCGGCTCGCGTCGGCGGAGCGGGCGCTCTACAAGGTTCAAACGGGACTGAAGCTCGTCGACGCCGTGCAAGGGCTGGGTGCCGTGCTGCCTCTCATTCCGGCGGTGTGCAGCGCGGCTCGCGGCGTCCTTCTAGTCGTGCAAAAGTTGCGGACTGTGATCAACGATGTGCTATCGGTTGCCCAGCGCACGATCGACGTCCTCGAGCTGCTGCAGCGCATGGCTGAAAACGTGGAACGCATGGACGTGAAGAGCCGCGCGAGCGTCGAGGACCGGATGCGCGAGTTACAGCGGCTGCTCGTTGACGTGCAATTGGCGGTCGCTAAAATTGGCAAGAAGGGCTGGCTGCGGCACGCACTCAAAGTGGGGAGGCGTAGCACGCTGTCGCAGCTCGACTCGGAGATCACCAGCCAGCTCACACTGCTGCTCAAGTTCTACAACCTCGCCCACGACGCGCTCATCATCGACCGGCTGCAGGCGCGCGAGTACGCGGTGGAGGCGGCGGTGCAGCGGCAGGTGGCCGAGCGGAAGGCGCTGGGCGAGGCTGTCGACGCGGAGGCGCTCGAGAAGGACTGCGAGGTCCTGTGCGACATCGCCGTCGCCTCGGGCGTGTCGGCCGCCGAGTTCCAAGAGGAGTTGACGCGTGAGATGCGCGAGGGCTTTGCGCAGCAGGGCCTCAAGCTCGATAAGATCATCGTGATGATGGCGAACCTCTCGGCAACGGGCAACGGGGAGCCGGACCGCAGCTCGCGGTTGTCGCTCTACGCGTACGACCGCAAGCCGGACGCGCCCGCCGGCCAGAAGGACAAGCTCGCCGCACGGCTCGGAAAGGGTTCTTTCGGCGTCACCTACCGGATGCGCAAGGTTGCTGGGATCGATGCGCGGCGGTACGCGGTTAAGCAGATCGACTCGGAGGAGCTGGACGGCGCCGGCTTGGAGAAGGAGGCGCGCCTACTCTCGACGATCGAGCACGAGAACACGCTGCGCTTCTACGACGCCTTTTGGCACGACACCGACGACAGCCGCCTCTTTGTCATCGTCACGGAGCTTCTCACCGGCGGATCCCTTGCCGAGAAGATCGCCGCCGAAGTGCCGCTGCAACCGCCCGAGGCGGCAGCGCTGATGCGGCAGGTCGCGTCCGGGCTCGCGTACATGCACTCGCTCAACCTGCAGCACCGCGACCTCAAGCCGGCCAACGTGATGCTCGACTCGACGGGCCGCGCAAGGATCATCGACTTTGGGCTCGCGTGCGCCTCTTCCGCCTCGCGCCGCTCGCGCACCAAGACCAAAGTGGGCACCGACGCGTACATGTCGCCCGAGAAGGCCGTTGGCAAGCGGTACGGGCCGGCGGACGACGTGTGGGCCGCCGGCTGCATCCTCGCCGAGCTTCTCCTTGGCCGCACGATTGGCAACGTGGCGCTCGACGCGGCAAAGCGGCAGCGTGCGATCGCCGAGGGAAAGCTCGCGAGCGAGTGGCTCGGCTCGTGGGTGGAGGACTGTCTGCAGGAGAGTCCGGGGCGGCGGCCGGCGGCGGCGGTGCTGGAGCAGGGGCTTGCGTCGGGTGGCCCGGGTGCGCGCGAGGCGGAGGAGCGCTCGCGGCGGGAGGCAGCGGCGGCTGCAGCAGCGGCGGCGGATGAGGAGGAGCGCGTGCGCCGCGAGGCCGCCGATCGCTCCCGAAGGGAGCAGGCGGAGGAGGCGCGCGCTCGGCAAAAGGAGGAGGAGCGCGCTCGGAAGGAGGCTGTCGAACGCTCTCGGAGGGAGGCGGAGGCGGAGAGGGCGGCGGCTGCGGAGAGGGCGGCTGCGGAGAGGGCGGCTGCGGAGAGGGCGGAGGCGGTGGAGATGGATCGCCGATTGCATGAGGCGGAGGTGGAGCGGGCACGCCAACAAGCGACAGCAGAGGTCAGCGAGGGGAGGCGCATCCCGAGCCTCTGTAATGTAGCCTCCCGCTTCGCTTCCTTGAGCTTGGTTCGGCCGCTCTATCTTGCTGGATGCATCGCGCCGCTACATTACCTGGTGGCGCTGGCTCGCGGCGGCCCGGAGGGGCAGAAGGAAGTGGCCGTGGCGGCGCTGGCGAGCCTCGCTTGGAATAACGACGACAACCAGGTGGCGATTGCGAGGGCGGGCGGCATCGCGCCGCTGGTGGCGCTGGCTCGCGGCGGCACGGACGGGCAGAAGGAAGTGGCCGCGGCGGCGCTAAGGAGGCTCGCTAATAACGACGACAACCAGGTGGCGATTGCGAGGGCGGGCGGCATTGCGCCGCTGGTGGCGCTGGCTCGCGGCGGCACGGACGGGCAGAAGTCGATGGCCGCGGGGGCGCTAGGAAGGCTCGCTCTCAACGTCGACAACAAGGTGGCGATCGCGAAGGCGGACGGTATCGCGCCTCTGGTGGCGCTGGCTTGTGACGGCACGCCGACGATGTATGCAGTCACCGTGCCGCCCGGCGTCGGGCCGGGCCATCAGTTCCAGGCCATGCTAGGTGGGCAGCTGACCATGGTGATCGTGCCACGCGGCAGCGGGCCCAACAGCATTCTCCACGTGCCGGTAATGGTCCGTGGCACGGACGAGCAGACGCAGTGGGCCGCGTTTGCGCTGGCAAACCTCGCTCTCAACGCCTACAATCTTCAGGTGGCGATCGCGAGGGCGGGCGGCATCGCGCCGCTGGTGGCGCTGGCTCGCGACGGCACGGACGGGCAGAAGGAGCAGGCCGCGAGGGCGCTATGGAACCTCGACAACGACCACAACATCTTGCTCATGAAGCAATTGGGGTACGGAAAGAACGGATGGCGAGGAGGAAACTATGGGTGGAAGATCCCAAGGCCGTATTGAAGAGCATGGACCATGGTGCCTCCCTTCGGTGATAGAAGCTCTCGATTGACGTATATCTGCTTACTTTCGTGTCATGCTGATATTCGCAGCGCATTGCCATATTTTTATGCCCTGTTGTTCACACATTTTTCACAGCCAGCTGCTCCCGCCTAGGCCCTAGGAATTACTCTCTCTCTCACAACAGACAGGCTCGACACAGGTGCGGAGACGTGTTGTGCGAGGGAGTCTGTGCCGATTTTTTTTCCTTCTTTCTTTCCCAAGAACGAAGTCTCGTTCCACTTTCGTGCGACTTCGATGGGCCACGTTGGCCTCGCAAGTGTCATTGCCCTCTGCCTGGCGCTGCTGCCCGCGACAGCGAGCCTGTCCGTCGCCGTGTCCCAGCAAGACTACGCACGCATCGCCGTCGCCGTGACCCAGCAAGGCTGTGCAAGACGTCCTCGGCTGCGGAGCCGCGCGATCACCGCCAGCCTCGCAGACGAACCCGGTGCTTTGCCTCGCGCTCGGCTGGCCCTGCTCGGCACCAGTGCTTTGTGGAGTACCTATCCAACCTTTGCGAAGCTTATCTTCGCCGCCGACGGCGTCGCCCTCACGCCCACCGCAATCACCGCCGTCCGCTTCGCCATCATGGCGATAGCAGGCCAGTTCATCCTCGCCCAGCAGCCGGCGAGCAGCGGCAGCTTAGGAGCAGCGGACAGCAGCAGTGGCGGCGGTGCGAACGGCAGTGGCGGCGGTACGAACGGCAGTGGTGACGGTGCTAACGGCAGTGGCGGCGGTGCGCCCGGCGGCGTCGGCTTTTGGATCGCCGCCACGGAGCTCGGCATGTGGGGCTGCGCGGGCACGCAGTTCAACTCGATGGCTCTGCTGCAGCTGTCGGCCGTGCGCGGAACGCTGCTCCTCGCCAGCGTCAACATCCTCACGCCGCTCCTCCAGGCGTGCATCGGCTCGAGCGACGAGCAGCGCCGGGTCGCCCCGCGCACCTGGGCCGCCTGCGCACTCGCCCTCGCCAGCACCGCGTTCGCAGTACAGAGCGGCGGCGCGGCGGGCGGCGCGGCGGCCTTCTCCTCGGCCGACGCGTCGATGCTCACGGCCGCCCTGTGCTACGCGCTCCAAAAGGTGCGGCTCAGCACCTTTGCCCAGACCTATCCGGCGGCCAGGCTCGCTGCGGGCCGCCTCCGGACGCAGGCCGCCGCCGCCTGCTCCTCGGAGCCTGGGGCGAACGCGACTTACTGTTGAGCAGCTCGGAGCCCAATAGGCCGCCATCGTGCTGCTCGGCCTGGGCGGCGCGGCGCTTGTGGGCGGCTTGCCAGAGGCGGCGGTGTCGGCCGACCTCTTCGGCAGCCTCGCCGGGCTCGGCGCAGCCTCCCTCTCCTCCGTCGCGAGGTGGGCGGCGCAGCTGTCGCCGACGCAGGCCCTCCCGCCCCTCCCGCCCTCCCTACGCCTTCCACGCGTGAGCAGCGCCTCCCCCACCCCCACCCCCAAGCAGGCTCTCCTCCTAACGCTCTCCGCCCTCGTGCCGGGCGCCTTTGCAACGATCCTCCAGGCCGAGGGGCAAAAGGTGGTCCCCGCCGCATCCGCCCAGCCCATCTTCGCCTCGATGCCGCTCTTCGCCGCCGGCTGGGCGTGCCTCCTGCTGCACGAGCCCATCTCGGCGCAGCAGGCGATCGGCGGAGCCGGCACGTGCGCCGCGGCGCTGCTCGCCGCCGCCGCGCCGGGCGGCGGCCGCGCCGGCGACAGCGCAGCGGCGACGGCGGCGGTGCCGGAGGAGGCGGCTGACGGCGCAGCTCGCGGTGTGGTCGTGCCGACCCGAGCCGCCGCGCTAGCCGCCGCGCGGGGCGAGCCGGTGCCAGGCGAGGCCCGTGAGAAGGTCGCCTCTGCGCGGATGCGGCGGCGATAGCTCAGGCGCGGCGCCCTCCTGACAGGCCGCCTTCGCTTGATCTTGATCTTGTCGTTTTGTGATGTCTTTTTACGTACACACGGGGTTTTAGCTTTCGATTGTGTTCGAGCGTCCCAGCCCGCTCAAACAGCAGTACACACGCGGCTCTAAAATCTAAGAAGTGTGTGGAGAGAGTCACGTGTGGTCGCTCGCGTCGCCGCGGCTCGACTTTCTTTCAACGCCATGGCCCCGGCTCTCGGTCTCGCTCTAATTCTCCCCACCTCCCCACGAGCTTCTCGGATCTCGCCCGCGCGCGCGCGCGCGCGTGCGCGTGTTATAAAAAGAAATGGCAACGTCGCGAGACTACCCGAGGCCCACAGACCCGACCCCATCGAATGTCAAAACCAAATCGTCTTTCCTGCATCCGTCTCGCGACTCGCTCGCCCCACTGTGCGGCTGGGTGAGGGGAGAAGACGGTGTGTGTGCCTCCGAGGATAAGGCGCGTCGCGAGCTCCGGCGCGCCGTCACGCGGCGCTCACGGCGTCCGCCTCTGACTCGGCAGGCTCCGATGTGTCGGGGATCCAAGCGCCGCGGCACGTCTCGCCCAGCTTGCCGAGCGACGCCTCGAGGCTCTGCCGGTCAGCCTTTTGCAGCGGCCGCTGGTCGACCGCGGCGCGCATCGCTTGCCGCCACGCGTCGAGGGTCTCCTGGGGCGGCTGCACGCCGAGCCTGCGCCGGGGAGAGGGGGAGGGAGTGCAGGGAGGAGTCGGCCTCAAGCAGGGGGGTGGGGACCGCGGATGTGCGGCTGCAGCTCCTCCAATCTCGGTGCCATCTCGACGGCATCTCGGCGCCATCTCGGCGGCATCTCGGCGGCTCGCGCGCCTGGCGTGCGCCCAGACCAGCGTGACGAGCTGCCGCGAGGAGAAGCGCGGCAGGCAAGTGTGCGGCAGCGCGCGCGTGGCAAGAGCGGCGAGGAGCTCTTTGGCCTGCGAGGGGGAGGTTCCGGGAAGGTTCGGGGATAGGCCCGAGCCAAACCTCGACCGAGGTGCGCAGTCCCGTCTTGCCTGCTGCGGCTCGCACGAGCCCTCGCCAGCGGTGCCCATCACCTAACGCGCCGATCGCGAGTCATCGCCTCGCAGGGGCCGCCCTCCCTCCCTTCCCTCCCCGCTCTCTCTCTGCCTCCCTCGTCGATGTCTCTCTCTCTGAGTGTGAGTGTGTGAGCGTGCGCGTGCGCGTGTGCGTGTGCGTGCGCGTGTGCGTGCGGGCCAAGTCACCGCCGTGGCGTAGGCCAAGTCGGACACCTCGACCGGCTTGCACTCGTCGAGCAGCCCCGACTCCAGCCGCGCAGCAACCACGGGCAGCAGCTCCGCGCTCGGCTGGCGCAGCTTCGCAAAGCCCCAGAGCAGGTTGGCGCAGTTCTGAGGCGAGAGCTCCCTCGACACGGCGCACGCCTAGATGAGTTCACCAGCCCAGCCATCCGCCACCAAGCGCTGGTTCGAAGCGAGTTTGAGCTCGCCACGCCGCCGCGCCTGCCGGTCGAGGTCCTCGAGGAAGTGTCTAGGAAGTGTCTAGGAAGTGTCTAGGAAGTGTCTAGGAAGTGTCTAGGAAGTGTCTAGGAAGTGTCTAGGAAGTGTCTAGGAAGTGAGTCCCGCGCCTGCCGGTCGATGTCCTCGAGCAGCCGGACCGGCTTGCACCTGCGCAGAGGCAAGAGGCAGGGCCAGGCTGGCACGCCCAAGTGTCGGGGCGGCGCTGCGGGCGGCGCTGCGGGCGGCGCGCACTCGAGCGTTGCAAATGCCCAGCTCATCACAGAGAGATGGTGGGGCTCAAAGGTTTGCCTGCCGGGGCGCGGGGTGCGGCAGGGCAAGGGTCGGGGTGCGGGCGAGAGAAGGCGCGAGCGGTGCATGTGCCGAGGCGCGCTGGCGGAGGGGTGTGCCGAGGCGCGCGCGCAGCACAGTCACCTCTCCAGGTGGTAGACCACCCTCAACAGCAGAGGCTTGAGGAGGAGCGGAGGCCAGTGCCGCAGCGTGGCGCACGACCAGAGCACGTCGGCGGTCTGCCGCGCGTTGAACTCGGCGGCCCGGCCGACCACCGAGTCGAGCAGCGCCTCGAACCGCGGGTCGCGCAGCAGCACGTCCCGCTCCGCCCGCCGCTTCTTCTCGAGCGTCGCGAGCCGGTGCATGGCGGTCGCCACGTTGACCGCGTTCATCAGCTTGGCCGACTCGGTGGTGAGCGCGAGGACGGCGTCCCTGCCGGAAGCTTCGACCAGCCGCTGGTTGATGGCGCCGCAGCGCGACGCCGCCACGGCGTCCACGAGTGCGCCGATCGGGCCGCCAACAGGCTCGGGCTGCACCGCCGACGGCTCGCCGGCCCCGGCGCAGCGGGGCGCCGCCGCCACGCGCGGGAGCGCGAGGGCCGCCGGCGCGCGGGGCGACGGCAGAAGCAGGCCGAGCCAGAGCGAGACCATCGGAGCGGAGCAGCGACTGCGAATGTAGCGTTAGAGACGACTCTCTTTCTCCCAACTGTGAACAGTCGTTATCTGTATATGCGCAGCTATTCATAGCCGCGCCTGTTGTTTGTGTGTGTATCCGCGCTCTTGGCGCGATTACGAGACTGACTAGTGTGTCGCACTAGTTGTACTTTTCGTAATAGTATTCCGCATTCATTGCGAGGGCGGACCACTCCTAGCGTGCAGACCGCGGGAGCTGGTGCCGCGGCCACGGAGGCAAAGGGCGGGCTGGCGATCCGCAACGAGGCCTGTTTGTCGCGGTCGGACAGGCACCCGTCGCATCTGTGGACAGGTGTGACGACGGCAGTGACGAGTTTGCGGCGCAGCCGCGCACGGGGTCCCGCCGTCAGCGGCCACACAGGCAAGAGCGGCACATCATGAGTCGGGGGGGTGTCGGGGCACGACGAGGGTTGCTTCGGCTGGCGCTCGGAGGCCACCAGGCGGCGAGGAGCTCATACCTGCCGCACGCCTGCCGCACGCTCTAACGTGCAGAGCACCGAATAGACGCCTTGCCCGAGAAAAAACAATCAAAAAGAAGAAAACCCCAATTGGTCTCAAAGCTGCATCGAGCGACGCACAAAAGGCACTCCCTTTGTGGCCACAATGCTCTGCCCGTCGCCGCCACCACTCCGCACGATGGAGAACAGCCCTTTGTTCAGTCCCTCGTCGGCCGACGACGACGCCGCCATGCAGGCCGCTCTCCTCGCCTCTCTTGCGGAGCAGCCGAGCGATGAGCCTGCGCCTGCCGCGGCGCTTGAGGGGCAGGCCTCGCTGCTCGCCGCGGCGACGCCGCCGCCCGCCGTCTCCACACCTTCAACGCTCGAGGCCTTCATCGCCGAGGTAGCGCCCGCCGCGGCCGCCGCCGCCGGGCTGCGGGCGCTCGCCCTCGCGCCGCGCCACCTGACGCTCGTCAAGGTGCGGGGCGACGGCCATTGTTTCTTCCGGGCGCTGGCGGCAGGGCTTGTGCTCGGCGCGGCGTGGGCGCACGGCGGCCTCGCCGCCCTCGAGGCGCACCTCGACTCGCTGCCCGCCGAGTCGGCGCCCGCCATCGCCGCCCTCCGCGCGCTGCTGGGCCGCAGCTCTGCCGAGGCCGCGCAAGCTCTTGACGCGCTCAACGACGGGCGCTCCGACGCCGCCGTCGCGGCGTTGCGCGGCTGCGCGACGGCGCACATGCTCCGCTCCGCCGCCCGCTTCGCCCACGTCGCCGCCGCCGACGGCTCCCCCTCCCTCGAGGCTTACTGCGCGCGGATGGCCCAGATGGAGCCCGGGCAAGGCGGCGGCAAGCCTGCGCCGCTGTGGTGGTCTCCGGCGTACGGAGGGCAGCCGGAGATGGTGGCGCTGTCCGAGGCGCTCGGCCTGCGCGTCGAGGTCATCGACATGTCCGCGGCCGAGCTCCAGACCCACGAGGTGAGCTGCGCGGAGCTGCCGGCGACTGCGCCGCGCATCACGCTGCTGCGCCGCGGGCTCCACTTCCACCTGCTGCTGCCGGCGGCGGCCGAGGGCGAGCTCGTCGGCTGACGGCGCAGCCACTCCGGTCCACATATTGAGCCGGCTCTGAGCCGATGTGAGCGGCTCCCACCGCGACTGTGCCTCGGGCCAGTTCCATCCAGCGGGCG